GCAACTCCTGGCTCAATTTATCCAAAAATCGGTGAAATCGAAAAACAGATTTCATATTTAATGAGCACCCTTATTTATCCCCTGTACCAACTCCCAGCCTCGTAGCTCAGAATTTTCCAAAAAATCGATAAAATAAAATTCTATAAATAATCAGACCCTTCCTTATCCCCCCCCTCCTAGCACGGGGCTGGGACTCGTGTACCAAGTCCCAGCCCCGTGCTAGCATCTAACTGGCAAATCGCGTAAGACTGTCGCGTGAAGTATGTGCAGGGACGGTCATAATCAAAGCTCGCATTCCTCAATGTGCACCTTCTTCGTCCGGCTTTAGGCCCCGGTCAGACTTCACGCGACTTAATCGTCGCGATCTAATCGCCAAGATTTTCATTTATTTTCATTTCACATTCAAAAATGTCGGGCTGGAAAAGTATCACAACCGAATGCAAGTTGATCGGCGTGGAATGATGTGTAGCAGTTGTCTCGTCGCGACTCAATCGCGACGATCAAATCGCGTGAAGTCTGCCCGGGGCCTTAGCCTTTACCATAGTTAATAGGCTGATATAGGGGCCTGCAGGATCGCGAGAGTCGGACGTGCGTACGGCCATTGCGCCGCGCACGTCTGATGTCACGAAGGCAGGTGCCAGACTTATCCGCTTCAGCCGGTTCGTTCGTTCATAGGTCAAATCACTACACTGTCCAACAGAAAAGGTGGTAAACCGAATGAACCTGTTCAACAGGATAAGTCTGGCACCTACCCGAGTCGTCGGACGCGCATCTGACGTGCGCGGCGCAATGGCCGTACGCACGTCCGACTCTCGCGATCCTGCAGGCTCCTATAGCTCCCGTATTAAAGTGCCTACAAGCCTCCGTAAGAATCTTGGATGCACTGCGATAACGGAACTATCAAGTACCATCTATTGAACAAAACTTTATTGCAAGGTGATATAATTGCAAATTCCAGCAACCGTCTATTACTCCACTACAGCTGCGATGTCCTTCACTCAAAATATACCAATTCGCGAAAATCTCTAAGGTAAAGAATAGATGCAGTTGTGCACCATGAGCTTTACAATTAAGAGTGGTTACTAGTGTGACCTTTGCGTACCAAAAGCATGAGCGATGCAAAGGAGGAGAAACCGGCTTGTCAGCACCCTTCCAGCGTATGAAGTCGGAGCACGAGTTTGAATTTGATAGCTATTTTTTTCTGCTGATTTGTTGCCAATAGCAGTGCGAACTATCTCATTCCACACCATTTTTTTACTGTTGCAAGCAGTCCGAGGAATGTGCGACTCTTCATACAGTTCAAAGGTCATCACCATTGCAAAAATGTATTATCGAGTTTTAAGAAAAAAAAACGCAGACGAAGCGAGCTTGATATGCAGCAGTTGGCTCTGCAACAAACTCGAATAATGTGAACACGGATTTCATTCGAACACGAATTCATATAAACATTCGAATAAAACATTCAAATAAAATCTATTCGAAACCTCGTTTTTTGATTATTTGAGTTTGCAAATTTTATTCGAATCCTCGTTTTTCGATTACTCGTGTTTTCGAACTTTATTCAAAGCTCTGTTTTCTCAATTATTTGAGTTTCGAATGTTATTTGAAAATGGAAAATTCCGAATATCGAATTTAAAATACGAATACATTCGAATGTTTTATTCGAATGATCGATATTCGATACCCAAGTGTACTGTTCAGGTTTCTAGTAAGTCCAGCATCCCTGTAATTATGGTACTCATGATCTATGTAGTTACGCGCGCGGCTGACTTCCAACGAACTTTAATCCTTGGTACTTGAGTAAGTTGCCCGTTCCAAACAGATAACCCCTTTCAGGTTAGCTGCTTAGCAGACGATAATCAAAAATCGAGGTAAAGTGCGATGATTTAGCAGCTTGTGCTGCCCAAACCGAGTTCTGTCCACCCCATGTAAACCTGAAACCAATATGCAATTCAACTGCACGGTGTTCGGTAAGAGTCGGCAACTATGAATTTACGGCTGTCCCTCGTCCTAAAGGTTCTTGTCAAAGTGAAGAAGCCAATTAATCTTTGCCATTGAGATGTTCCTTGATGCGTACGCATAAGGGACGTGCTGTTTCACCAATATACTCGGCGCCGCAATCCTTGCATGAAATGAGGTAGACAACTCCCGCGCTCATGCAGTTGCCGTCCTTTGCTGTGGGACAGGACATACTAGACAGTTTGACGTAGTGCAACTGCGGTCGAAGCTGTTTAGCTCATTTCAGGCTCCGAAGAAGGCGACATAGCCGAAACGTCAGCCTAACAAATAAATTTAACAATCTCGGAGTAGCTTAACAATTAAATCAGCACAATAATCATCATGCCGAGATTTAAAGACAGGCGCACTTTTCGATTACTTCGTAATGTACCATCTGAATGTAGTCATGCAGGTGAATTCTTTCCGAAGTCCACCTTGTTCTTAAGGTTGACCTTCATCCAGTGTCGTAGATATGCGACGAGGATAATCTTTTGAAAACTTGTAAGACACACCACTCAACAGGCATATTGAAAGGGAATTCCGAAGTTCTCCCGTTCGCTCTTCTTGGAGGGAAAAAGATTGTTGAAGTTCTCCACATTTTTTCCTTCAGAAGGTAAGATGTTAAATGCGACGTTAGAACTTCTTGTAGACGGTGTCTGCCGACTATAGATAATCTGGTCCGGGAGTCGCGGACAACCTCATGGTCTGTATTGCGGTACGCACTTCAGCAGGTAGAATTCGTGGTGGTACTTCTCCAGTGGGAACAACAGGCATCGGCACGGGTATTGGTGAGCGAAAGGGGTTGGTGTAGTAGTTCTTCGCGATATATTCCATCTTGTGTTGGAAAAAATCGTAGTTTCGTTTTCGTTTGGTAGTGCAGCCAGCGGTACATGATATTCACGGAAGTCCCTTCAACACTTCTTCAAACTTCGTCTTCCTTCGGCTGCTTCTAGTATCTTGCTTGCCTGTACTTCCTAAGATCCTCTTGCAAAGTTGTTCGCCTGGCGGAGAAAAGGTCAACGAGACGGTTGCCGTTTTCGTTCCAGAGCCCATTACAAACTTCCCAATCCTATATTCCTCTTTTGGTGGCATCCCTATTTTCGCGTCGAGATGGCCTACAAAAAAAACTGTAGGGGAACCTCTCATTGCGAACGGCTTCCTCCATGTCTTCGTAGAAAGCATCTATCATCGATTCATGACGCGCAAAGACTGGGCGCCGTTGCGTCCGACCGAGATAGTTTGTGCATAGGAGAGACAGCAGATGGTAAGAGAAACGAAACAGTGCTCGATCATGGAGACGCTGATAGGTCCGCAGTCTTTGCGTGCTATGAATCGCCGATAGTTCTGATTCGTCAGCTGCTGATGTTGGGGAGTAGCAGTTGATGATGCTTATGGTTCTGACGTAGAGATCGTAGTAGGATGGCTAGTCGAGGTGACGCGATCTCATGCGACTCGATAAGATGGTCGTGGGTGAACGACAAGGCCAACGCCTTCAACGTTTCGTGATAGAACTTTCTCACCACGAATGATGGGGGTGCTATCATTCATTCATCTGTCGCTCGCACTTGCTTCTCCTTGGTCTTAGTTTCTTGCAGAGCGATAGTATGGTACTCAATTTGCTTCGCAGCGGCGCGGAGTGCGTGGAAGTCGGAGTGAGGACTGTCCTGAAGTTGTAGGTGCAGAGTCCTACTAGGCCGTGCTTTCGATTCCCACGGTGCGATCGCTAACCCGAGGTGTGGAGCGCGGACCGCCCAGCGATCAGAAAAACCAGGGGCGGTAATTGTCAATTTTCTATGTGGGAAGGAGTTCCTGTACTGGTCACAGCCCGTATAGGCGCGGGTACTGGCGCCTGCGATACGGGTGGAGGACTATATGTCGCCGAATTTGGAAGAGTCCCGCGCGGATTCCCTGCAGGAACGCATGCCCGCGCATGTACAAGGGTGCGTATTTGTCGCAAATGACCGCGGGGACCGCCCTTTTTCTGCGACATATAGTCCTCTACCCCTGCGATACGCGAAGCCAAGCTGTTGATCGGGCTCCCATGTGTTTGAAAATATGGTCTAGTTTGGAAAGTTTGACCATGTCGGGCACGGCAGGTGCCCGATCATGCCCGATCTCGACAGGTCTGCTGCCCGTTTGGGCCACGCGCCTCAGACTTTCATGGCGCCACAACTTTCACTTTAAATCATGGGATGGCGCTCTCGCCTGTCCGGGCGCTGGGTGAAGGAATTTATGTCGCCGAATGTAGGAGCGTCCCGGGCGGACTACCTGCAAAAGCGCACCTCCATGCATGTAGTAGGGTGCGTATTTGTTGCAGACGATTGCGGGGCCCGCCCTATTTCGGCGACATGTAGTCCTCTACTCCCGGGCGCTCGTTAAAAATGTCCCGAACAGCGAGTAGGAGATTGATAAATACCGCCCCAGAAGGCGACGGATCTGATCCGGTTTTGTTTAGTCGCGTGCAAAGCGTTCTTGGGTTTCTCAGTCAGTCTCACGAATTTGTCCACTTTTTGATTGCTGCTACCCCTGCATCTGCGAACTGCGGCACTCATGGCTGTGACGGCAACATGCAACAACATGTCAGCAACAGCATTTTGGTTGTTTTGCCCTGAAGTCAACATGTTGTTTCATGTTGCCAACATGTTTGCCATGCTTGACGTATGTCAGAGACACAGAGCGGGGCTTTGTAACGTACCTAATTAAATTTGGGCGAAACTTCCGCAATGAAAATGTGTTCTTTTCGTAGTTGGTAGTTTTGTTGTTGCAGTATTACGAGCTAAAGGCCTGGACAAAAGCGCAAATGGAATATAAGTTGAGCAAACCGGCGCGCGCATGTCATTTACTGTTGTAAGCCATGCATTTCGTGCGCCCTGCCGATCGCGCCAGTCTTGCGCCTTCGTCCGGCAGTATCCTTTACTTCTGTTGCGCCCAGTAACTTAGGCCTACTGTAGCGGCATAGTCCCCGTATAATAAGTGTAATGATTGTTGAGGGTTAAGGAATCATGTTGGTGGCGCAACAAACGCGCTCCACTCCAATTCTGCAGACGTAAAGATCATCTGACGCGAAGGCCGTCGGCAAGAAAAACTACGAGCTCTCGTCATTAATGTTCTTAATGGCACCAACGTGCGCTTCTGGATTATTCCTATAGTCGAAGAGTAGTAGAGGTTAGTTTAGTCACTGCGCAGCCGCTTTAGCATTTGTTATTCCATGATATTCGTCTTAGAAGCTTTGCGTAGTCATTTTTTTCCAAATTCTATTTATAGGTATTTATATATCTACAGTTTCCTTTCTAGTATATTCAAAATGAATACTCTCAATGCTTTTCACAGGAAATGGGTGGTGGTCAGCTTTCCGATCAAATTTGGTATTGGGGAAATGTCGAAAAATCGATGGTATCAGAGGTAAGAGTTTATAATATGGATTGCCTATATGCATGGTTAGATTTGACGCCTTCTGAATCATCAGTATAATAGTGTAATGGTGAAATGCTAATCAGGTGATGCAAGACCAGCCAGAGGGAACATTTATCGTTCGCGATGCATCATCCCCGGGCGACTATACGTTGACTGTAAGGTGGGCGCGTTTATGTATTCCGTTCATCTCGTTATTACGTGACTTTCTCTGTGTGGCTTTATTTTCGAATTTGTCTTTTGTTTTTGAAGCTTAGAGAGCTCTGTTAAAGACATTGTCCGACCAAAAAGTCGATATTGAGATTTTGTGCTTACCAAGGCCTACTGGCTATGCTGAATCCGAAAATCCACACTGGAGAGCGCAAAAAGGCGAAAAGGGACTTTAACGCAGGATGGAAATCAGCAGGTGGCCGGGTCCTCTCTTGTATGAGCGTAAATACACAGTGGGGAAGACTCCTCCCACTTGCTGATTTCCCTCCTCGTTAGAGCCCTTTTTCGCCGTTTTCGCACTCTCCATTGTGGATTTTAAGATTCAGCATAACGAAGAGGCCCTGGTAAGCACGAAATCTCAAAATCGGCTTTTTGCCCAGACACTGCCTTTAATCACCGACTTACACCATTATCTTATTTTTCCACTGTTAATGATATAATCGGGCTATCTTCTTGTTCGAGCACATTCATGAGTATCACCGCTGATATCCTTGCCTATTTTGACTTTGTTCCTCTTCAATATGATTAAGTTGTTTTTTCTTGGATATGAGATTTTGAAAAAGAGCTAACAATGCGAATCTTACTTACCAGACCTCTTACCTTCACTTTTCGCGCTTCTGTATATCTCCTGTAAGATTTCTCATAATCAGAGTGTGAGGCACGAACGGTGACACTTGCTCAAATGATAATACCTATGGATTACCTCATTCTGATGCTCTTACGTGTCAAATGAAAGGATAGCTTGAACTGTAATACGTCTACAGCGCTCTCTAGTCTTCTAGCTTTTGTGGATCTGAGTGGAAATTCGTCTGCTTATTCTAAGTTCTTGGATTGCGCATGCTCATTCATAAGCATGACTAGCTCCATGTCAGCTGATCGCGTCATTGATTTGGCGTTATCAGTGCGAGACCATAGCAGCTGCGCTGCTCAGTTTCGTCGTATCAAGTAATGTTAAACAAAAAAACTAAAATTTGGTTGTAGAAGTGATGAAAAGTCAAAAGGATTGTTTCCGCTGAGTTTTTTTATCCGATATCGACCACCAGTCGATGATTGCTCGTTATTTATTCATAGATTCATAGATTAGGATAAACAGTTGATACTTCACTTTTTTTGATGATTTTGGACATCCTCTGAAGTTTTGACTACTCGGCATGCATTGACTTCTTTCCAGATTTGGAGGTCACACGAAGTTGGTAAGGATCCATGTTTACAAGGGTCGTTGTGGTTTTGCCTTAGAATCGCTCACTCACGATTCTGTTGTAAGCCTCATCGACTTTTACAGAACTCGATCTTTGAAAGTAAGTCGTTACCAATGCTTCCAATTGTTTTGACGAAAGTGTTTAAAGTGCTACAATGCTCAACTCGACGTTTGTCTAAAGTACCCGTTGCCAAGGAGAAAGAATTCAATTCGCCTACATGATCAACGTACCACACCAGGCCTACCCTCGCCGCCAAAATCTTCTTTCAACCCAGGTGCGTTTTGGGTGCACTTTTAATCCGAAATTTTCTATCACGAGACATGCTCATGAATGTTTGCGTACTTTGTCATCATTCTTTTGACCAGCACATAGCTGACAGTTTATCGCCGCGCTACTCTCTCACGTGAAAATTTACGTTTATCGTTTTGGCCTGGCGTCACATGATAGATTGCCTCATTAGCATATGAAAGGTGGCATTAGCGTTTGTATATTCTGACTGTAATTCTGTAATATCCCAGTATACCTCCGCAATGAATGCTAGAATAGCTAAGGTTCAGATTTGGGCGATTTTCCGAAAGGTCACGATCCATATCCATACGATAGAACCTAAAGACACTTTACTTGAATGGCTATTTTTTACCGACATATCCCTCCCACCATAGGGTCTTCTTACTGCTATACTTCTGAGGGTTCCAGAATACTGAAAGATCATGAAATATGGTCAAAGCATAGTTTTATAGTGTGTGTTCTTTGTTCCTTATTGTTGAACAATAACGGCATATTAGACCTCTTCTTTCTAATGTCTTGACGAAATGGGAGATTCCTTTGGAGTTTAGAATCACAATATAGTAAGATGTTTCGTATCTGGGGTGGTCAGCGAAATATGAAGCTTTTTGAAGTCCGAACACAGAAGGATCGGCGAGAGTACTTCGTTAATCGGTGTTTGTGCTTATAGACTGGGAACTCCGACTTGGTTTGGAACGATTACGCATTTCTCAGACTGCTGTTGATCGTGCAGCGCGTCTTTTCGATGCTGTTCACCAAGAAAAGCGGCTTGCTGATGACCTTCATTACGAGTTTACGCAGGCGGTATGTTTCATTCATTTACTGTGTTCTTGTGCTGTTCTTTTGAGTTTATTATGTTCTAACATTTACTCAGTTTTTTCAATGGCGACTACATTTTCATGTAATAGTAGCATGTCATTTACATGCTGATTTTTTGATGTTTTATAAATTGTTATCCTTTTGAAATAACGTATAATCTCCTTCTCATTTATATTTCCCGTCTTGACAGTGATAACATCTGTGAAAATGTCATGTCGATATTTTAAGGATAGCTTTTTTAGATAATAGATCTGGACAGAAAGACTAAACAGTTAGAAGATGTGTTGGTCAACTTGCAGAGTTGTAGCGATGCTGTTGACGAAAATGATATCAAGCGTACGCAAGCATTCAAAGCGAATCGAGAGGTTTGTATCGTTATTACATAATCACTGATACTCACTCATGTGTGTAGGTTACCGAGAATGCTATAAAGCGGCTGAAGCAGGAGCATGATTTGGTGGTGGATCGTCGCACAAAAGTGAACAAAATCATTGAAGGTCTTGTGCAAGCTACTGCCAAGGCAAAGGTGGGGGGGGGGTATTTTATTTATTTATTTATTGGCTGAAATTAGCTAATAATTGTAATTGGCTGACTTATATTTCTTTGTCATTGTGCGTTTTCCAGGGACGTCTAGTTTCCTGTCATAATATCCGAAATCAGTCCTACACTGACTTGTTCAAGAAGGGCGTTCCAAAGAATCAGTTGGTAAGCACAATCGAAATATCTACGAACATGCTGGAAAAGGAATCATTGCAAGCTAGCGAACTTTTGGCAGATCTGCCGCTCATATGGGAGCCTGAGCAGTGAGTCTATTTTGCATCTCATGTCTTGGTTTACCTTATTTTTTCCTCAACTGATTTTTTTAATGTAATGGGGCTTTGCTTTTTCATTACGAATTCTACGATTACTGCTGAAGGTGCTAGTTTTTTCCTGGAAATAGAGGGTAGGGGAGTATATGTCGCTGAAAGTGGAAGGTCCCGCCGGGCGTCTGCTACAAATACACATTCCACTACATGCACAGGCGGAATATCTGCTGCATTGTCCGCGCGCGACGCTCCCACTTTTGGCAAGATGTAGTCCTTTACGGGATCGTCCAGACCGCGCACAAAGGCGGACGAAGGCGCACAAAGGCGGACGAAGACGGACGAAGTCGCACAAAGGCGAATTAAGGCGCACGAAGGCGCGTCTCGTCTCGTCTCGTTTCTCTCGACACACACACACTCACACGCGCCTTCGTCCGCCTTTGTGCGGCTTCGTCCGCCTTTGTGCGCCTTCGTCCGCCTTTGTGCGCAGTCTGAACGATCCCTACCCGAGATAACAAGCATAGAACATCTTCTATTTATTTTTCATATAAGTATTTTTTGATTTTGTTCTTTTTTTTTTGCAAATTCTGTATTCTGTCAGATATCTCGTAAATGATCCTTCGAAAGAAGCTGCTGCAACATTGATCATGCTTGCGCGTAGCAAAATATTAGAAAAGTTGAAGAAGAAAGTGAATGATGGCATATTCCTTATCCGACCGTCTGCTTCACAGGTAATTAGTTTCTCGTTAGTTTTACGAATATTTTCGTGATATTTTTATTCCTATCTAGGCTAATAAGCTTGTACTAAGTGTGTTACATGGGGAGCGTGTGTCACACTGTCTTATTGGACAAACTCAGCAGGTAAATAAATAAGCTCCAATAATTCTTTGTTTCAATGTAAAGGTTTTCTAGGGGTGGGGATTCGAAAACGGTGGTGTTTACTTTGTTACTATTGGTGACTTTGTGCGTTACTATGCTCATGCATCACTAGAAGAGCACAACTCTGATATCAAGACGGTATTGACCGCTCCAGCTTTAGGCTACTAGCTTTTGAGCTTTTACTCAGTTTTTACTTAGAGGCTGACATACTTCCTGTAACGTTGCTTTCTTGCTTGTTGAAGATGTTGTTTGGCTGGCTTCGGGTAGTAATAGCTTCATACAGGTGCTTAATAATGCGGGCGCCTGCTTTTCTATCTAAGAGCTATGAACCGTAAAAAATTTTATCGTATAGAACAGGAATGCTCATTGTTTTGATATTCAGTACTTCGTTTTCGATTAGTGAGTATCTCATCCTGTTGTATTGTTGTTAATGACACTGACCTTAAATGTATTCCACTTGATTACGGTTCTTCTTTTCTTTCAAATTATCCGTTTTTTAATGACAGTACTTTCTCAAACTTCTCTATATGACTCCTCCCTTTTTTATTGTGTTTTTATCCAAGTTGTGATCAATTTGCTACTGTTGCTCTGTTCTCTGATCTGCCTTCTTCAATCAATCTACCTTTAAAAAAGTGAACGCTCATATTTTCAGAAGTTTAAAACCCGAGTGCTTGGCACAATGTTATCGTACAAATGCTTGCTATAATGAAACCTTTAAAAATTTTGATTGTGTGTAGAAATTATCATGGTTTTCACCATGCAATATCTTGTCCATGTCAGTTTTTTCCGCTTCGCTGCGTTTATACCCGATTCGCGCAAGCGCTTCCGCTGTTTCGATTTTAGAGCGCAGGTAATATTGGTCTTGAAATGGTTCTCCATGTACTTTTTGTTTATTTCGTTTTTCTGACAGAAGCTAGAGGATTCTGCGGAGCGTGCAGCTGCGGCGTTTTAAATTTTAAAAGTGTGGAAGCTTAACGGGCGACTGAAACCATGCTTTTTCATAATTTTTTCCCTTGTTTGTGTTACATAAGATGCACTTGCAGTTAATGGAATGAAGGTGACACTAAGCAGCATGTGGGATCGAATGCGATCCAGTGCACAACGAATTTTCGGGAACCACGAAACTTTGCAAGAAGAAAACAGCGTCTCTGGGGAAGACAGAGATCACGCCAACGACCAGTCGCATTCTAGGTACGGATTGTTACATTAGATTTCAGAGTTTCATATCGTTATGTTCTTACGTGTTCTCTTCTTGTTTCTTTTTTTTTACTTTCAATTAAAACCATGAGTTCTAGGATGCACAGTGGTGCTAAGTTTGAGCAATTTTTTTACTGAAGTTGTGAGTCTGATATCGCTTTGTCCAGTTTTTTGTGAATTCGATGCACTTTGTTATGGACATGTAATGTTTGCATACAAAGTGTGTCAGACTGATGTCGAACTCACATTATCGATCAGTCAGACGATCGTATTCAAATGAGAAAAGTACGGCTCAAGTGTTTTGGGTACTGTTCAGCGCTAATTCAGTCGGATTGTTTTGATAGGCTGATCTGTGGGCAGAATTATTTTGCCTTTAGGCATGATGTTACGGTGTTGCGCGTAAGTATATCTATCATTCAGATCAGGTTTCCAAGCAAGCATTCGTGTTGATTGCTTTTTTTCTTTATTTTTAAACGTTTCAGAACCGTGTCCACTGACTACACTGAATTGATGGGTGGCAGTGTACCATGCCCGTCTTGCAAAGGCACGGGTCGAATCCCCAAAGGTACTGAGTCTAAATTGGGAATCAACTATTTGACATTATATGCTTTTTTTTAGAAATGGAAGAGACTTTAGTTGCTTTGATTCCTTTGAATGACGATCGTTTGAAGCCGAAACGAACATGGTTTTGGGTTCTAATAGGAATTGGGGTCAGTGTTTGACTACCATTTTTTTCATTGTTTTTATCCCTTCATGTTTTCATATTTTGTTCTGATGATGACTTGACATTATCGATTTGAGTTTTACAGATGTGCACTTTGCTAGCATCTGGAGCAATCTTCATGCTTGTTCCACGTGCCGTCGACTTACACAGCAATCGGCCTGCCATTAACATTATCCACGTTACTGAACATAAACCGTCGCCACCAACAATTAAATTCCATTTTATGGTGAGAAATTTCGAGCCCATCGATTTTCTGTCTCCTGTCTACTGTAATTCTTCAGAATTATGTAAATATCTCAAATTCCAACTACTACGTTATACAAGTTGTGAATACTTCTGCGATTGTAAGTGGAACTTTTGTGCAGCTAGAATTTTCTCAAGTTATCACTTCTTCAGATCATCTCTAAGTTCCAACCATGGTCAAGTGACGTCATAGGCTCTGGACTGAACGCAAGCACTGTATCAGTAGCACCGCTGAGCAGTAATAATAATCAGCTGATGTTCAACAACTCTGTAACTCTTACAGATGTAGTGGCGTAAGTTTTCACTCATAAGTGTTGGATATTCACCTTCAATCTGGGTTTTATCTATTAGTTTTAGATGCTGGAGTTTATTTTACTGACCGATTTACATTTTTAGTGAGTACTGCCAAGCGCCGTTCTCCCGCCTCACATCACTTTACGTTAACATGCAGTTTGACATTAACGTAGCTCTCGTTTACTTCAACCATCGCGAGCAGGTGTCTCTAACAACGACTCAGCAGGTTTGCTGCGTTCCTTCCGGTAACTGCACATCCAGTTGAGAAAATAGATGTTAATTTGTACTTTCTACATTTGTGAACCACACTGCTTTGTCTTACTGAATAATCTTTTATCAGAATGTCTCTCTTGTTTATCCGATGCCATCACCATCCATCGCTGCTTATTACGAAAAATTGTGATGTCCGTAATATTTCCATTTATTTGGGTTCTCATGATGATTGTCACTTTGTTTTATGTTAACATTGCTGTTTTATGTCGATTTTCCCGGTTACTTTCAACACCAGCAATAGCAACGTAACAATTTGCTACTCACTGGTATATGACCGCTGTGCTATGGGTTCAAACTGCTGCTTATTATCCTAGTTTTGCATGATCTATGTGTCCGTCCAGTCATTACCGAGATTATTCTAAAGGACCGGAACCAGAATGTATTCTAAAGAACCAGAACCAGAATGATTCAAAAGTTTTGTATATATGAAATAAATGTTTGCCAGTAAAGGAGAATTTGTGCTAGTTTTGTTACAGGGCTATAATATATCGTTTCGCAGACATTTCTTGCATTATGAGAGCGGATTTTTATTAACCAGCTTTTCGCTTCTGTCATTGTTCAAGATAAACGAATCGGTCAAAAAACAGGAACAATGAATTTTTCTCCCTGTTGCTTTCTTCTGCAAATGAAAGTTTTTTTGCCCTGTTATGTCATCGGTGTTGCATTCGTTTTTTTTCACTATATGTTGTAGAGGACAAGAGGTAATTGAAGAAAACCATTGGTATGATCTAGTAGATTTAAGGTAAAAATTTGTTCTTCCGTTACCGATAGCATTTGCGCGTGAAAACGATGTGGCCTCTACGGCTGTTCTTTTTTGCGCTCTACGATTATTTCTGCGCACAAGTTGCTGAGTCGTCGACATTCACAACCAAGTAGTTGTTTCCGCGCAGATGTTGTCATTACCGCAGAGGCACTATATCCGTCAAACCTAGCCTGTGTACGTGAGAAACGCAAACGACAATTTCTTTTTCCGAAAAAAGATTATGAAGCGTTTAATTCGTCAAGAGTTACGTTTTCCAACTTCTGCACAGGGTGTTGCCACTGTTCTCGCTGTTTTTTGCTGTACTATTTCTTGACTTGCTGCAACTGCAAAAAAGAACGCGTGTAAAGGCCCGGCATACATCACGCAATTTCATCGTCTCGTCATTTTCCTGAAAAGGCAACTGTTACGAGTACATTGCATGCCGATCATTTTGCATTGCTGCTGCCGATTGCCTGCTTCAGCTGCAGGTCCGCAGAATTAACGTTAATTCTGTGCGCCTTTTGCAACTGAACAAAACATTCGCTTAGTTTGGCACCTACAGGGCTTTTCAACATAAGAATCACAGCCTCCGCTTGCGCGGCTCCTCCAACGCGGCCGCCGCGCGCGGCGTTTGCGGCGCATCGCCCGGGCTTTTGCCAAGCTTCAGTCGACGCGCAGCAAGCGCCACGAACGCTGCGCGGACCTAAGCGTGGCGGCCGAGCGGGGCGGCTGTGACACTCAGGTTGTAAAGCCCTGTACCTAAGGTGCAAGGGCGACATTTTTAGATTCTGTGCCATATAAAAATCCCCATGCCAACATTTCCAGCGGCAGAAACACGGGGTGGGAGTGGGAGGGGGGGGGATGTCGGGGCCGATACATGGCTCGCCATATGATGTAGAAACAATGTTCAATTCTGCGTTTGGGTCAACCAAACCTAATACTCTTTGGGACGGTAGATCGATACCAGAGCAGACTCGGAGAATTAACCAGACAATCTTTGATCATTGTCATTTATCGGTTCCAGTCACATAAGGACCATCAACGTGGCTGGCTTCCGATCATCGCGACGATCAAATCGCGTGAACTGCCCGAGGCCTCAGGCGCTTATCAAAAGTTGACATGTTAATGGCTACTGCACGACGAAGGCGAACAAGCAGTATTAGTTGCGCTATCGCGAACGCGGCGCGCGCGTAACGTCACCGTTGTAATCCGCGGCTGATAAAGCCGCGTTCGCGTCTAATTATCTCGCCTTCGTCAAGCAGCAGCTTATACAACGATCGAAAGACAGCCACGTTGATATCTACTTCATATGGAATCAATTCTGGGGGGCACATACGTAAGTGTACGATGCTTGTCGATGAGCAAATATCTCGGGTGGAATTCACCCTGCTTTGAAACGTGGAAAATGTGTAAGTATACATCACTTCTCACCAGAACAATGGTTGAATCAAACAACATAAGTAAATCCAACGGTAGATATATTGCATCTGCGGTGCCCATTTGCCAACAACATTTGGGGTGAACACTGCTACGACTCTCAGGGATCGTTCAGACCGCGCCAGAATCCGTCCAAACCCGCCCGAATACGTCCAAATCCGCCCAAACCCGCCCAAATACGTCCGAATCCGTCCGAACCCGCCTGAACGCTGGAACTGCCAAAGCGCAGCGGATATGCGGCAAATTGGCATATTGGAGCAGGCGTGGAATAATGCTCGCGTAGTGCATTATCTCAGTCACACGTAGCTCGACGTTACATACCGATCTTCTTTTGCAACTACTCCGATATTAGAAGGATCAATCGCACGCGTGCTCCAATATGCCAATTTGCATGCAACCTGCTGCGCTTTGGCAGTTCAGGCGGGTTCGGACGTATTTGGGCGGGTTTGGGCGTTTGGAAATATTCGGGCGGATTCGGACGTATTCGGGCGAGTTTGGGCGGGTTCCGGCGCGGTCTGAACGATCCCTCAGACAGTTGGAGCGTGCAGCGCGCGCAGTCACTCGGTGGCGCAACACCCAGTGCGCGTGGAGGGACATTGGATGCCGCGTTAATGGTGCTGGCCCGCGGATGGCTGCAATTTTTCAGTTTTTCGTTGCGCTGTATACCGCAGGTCTTGATAATGAACTCCACACTTCATACGCAAAAAATATGAGTTCGTAGAATTCAAGAATAGATCCATCCATTCGCGATGCTACCGGCCAATGGAAGCAAAAAACACTTTTACTTCTGCGACTACTAATACACTAAGATGTAATACCAAACTCTAGAATGATGAGGCAGGCTGACCAATGCGTCGTACACTACGCAGGTATCCCTTGTGCTTACAGCAGGCGATAATTGCAGGCGCGCGGGCCGCACGGATAGAGTATAAAGGCACGCGCGCGGTGCGCTACAGTATTAGGCGCGCAGGTCGCGAGATCGAACATAAACGTAGCGCGCGGGCCGCGGTGTTGGCCATTAATATGTGCGCCGCACGCATCAGTTGTCTAGGATGGCACTCGTTTGGCGTACTGCGGACACACCCACAAATAAGGCACGCGCTTTGCCGCTTTGACCATAAACGCGCGTGCGCCGCACGCTCCAACTGTCTGAGGTAGGTGCCAGAGTAAGCGAATATTTTGTTCAAGTTGAGGTCCCGCGCAGAACTGGCATCACTAATCATTGTGGCATAATGCCAACTTGGCGTTGTGCGACAACGATTAGTAACGCCAGTTCTGCGCGGGACCCCAACTTGAACAAAATATTCGCTTACTCTGGCACCTACCTGAGCTTTAAAATGCGAGCAGTTTCCGGCAAAATGGCTGCAGAGCGCGTTATTAGCGCTGTGCGTACCATGGACTATTCTTTTACTTGTTCTGAGACTTGTTTAATTGTTAACCTCAGGCCCATGTTCCAGGATGGATGGTGGAACAAAGGAAGGGGGTGAGGAGACAACACTACAGAAGGGTGAATTTTGTTAGGTCAGTAATACCCGAATTACAAAGATTTAGTCAGTTCAGATGACGCTGAGACCAAAGGAGCCGAGAATATTTCTGAAAAGGAAGATGACGATACTGTGGAAGATGATTTGGCTAGCATCGCATCAAGTGATCTTGCCATGGCCGATGAGGCTTCCGATGATTCTGACGAAGAAAATGTGACGGCAGATATGGTTGATGACATTGTTACAGAGACTTTTGATCCCTATGCTTTTACTCCATTGCCTATGAAGGTGCGTAGATGCTTCTTGTACTGTTCAAAGGCCCTGGCCAGACTTCGCTCGAAAGCGCCCTAAAGCTCCTAAAAGCGCCCAAGTTTCTCTAATTTCTCTTCATCTCCTTTCATCTCTTCTCACCGAGAAAGTGAAAAGAAATTTGAAAAACATTAGAAAAATTTGGGCGCTTTTGGGTGTTTTGAGCGCTTCTGGGTGCTTTTGAGCGTTTCTTGCGCTTCTAGGCGTTAGCGCTTTTGAGCGAAGTCTGGCCGGGACCAAAGACTGAAGTTTTTTTTATAGCATATCGTACCACTATGGGTTAAACACCCTCCTGAAAAGTGTGATGATAAAAATTGGGAGATTTTTATGGAAGCACTGGAGGCTTTCGACCAAGATACCTTGCATGAGGGAAAGTGAGCCAAATCTATGAACAGTTAGGTACAACATTCCATTATTGTTTTCTAGGGACGATTTTATCGTCACTATTGAAACGCTGTGTCCACATTTGAGCGCATGCTTCGCAACGCTTACAAAAGGTACGTAGATAATATCAATGGATGTCCCAGGATTTTCGGGCGGGAGAGACGTAAAATTTTTCCCCAGTGAGAGTGCATGGCATAAATAACGCATCGAAAATCTCATTGAGATGCTTTCCAAAACTTTTGCAGGCTTATACTTATACAGAAGCTACAAAAGAAAGGAGCTTGGTTGCCGCCGCTCTCTCAAAAAATTTTCACGACGCTAATTTGATTTTTTAAAAATTTCAAAAATTATTTTAATTATCTGCAAGTGTGTACAAATGACTTGCACATTTTTATACCTTATGTAGGTGACCTTAAAAAATTTCGCCAAGGGGGGGGGTTCAAGTGACTTAATTTCTTTTGCGCCCAAGTGACTTGTCTTTTTGTGAAGATCAGAATATATCTACCGTCTGCACCCCAGAGAGGTTCCCATGTGAACCAGCGTGCGTACGTGGTGCGACGCTGCCTTTCGCTCTTTTTGACACGTTTCTCCTGAGATTTCAACTGAAGTGCCCGAGCTTAACACGTTCAAAAGTGCGAAAGGCAGCGAGATGACGTGGTACCTATGGGAACCTCTCTGGGGTGCAGACCATAGGTGGTATGTACAATAGTAGAAAATTGCTGTGGAAATTAAGCTGAGACCGCTTCTTCTTACAAAACTTAGGGCCGTATGCACTAACATCCCTGCGGCGAGGGAAGCGACATCCCCCATTATGAAGGGGTCGCGTGCGGACGCCGCTGCGACTTTTACATCATTGGGGACGTCGCTCCCCTCGCCGCAGGGATGTTAGTGCATTCGGGCCTTATAGTCACTTTTGGAAGATTTCTGAAAAACTCAGGCATTTTGCAAAAATTTTGGCGTTCAAGTTATGCTGCCCTAAATTTCCTATTCCTAATTTCGAAAAAAAATTGCAATCGAAGCTTGTGAGGGGAGTAGATAGTTTTCCTCAGCTCCACTCTCTTATAGTAATGGTCTAAAGGTGTTTGTTCTACTGATATTAGTAGGTATACTAGAAACCAATTTTGCTTATACTCAGTCGGAAAAGATGACTTGCAATCTCTTACGCTCTTCAAGCCAGTGTAAAAGTCTTTTTGTAGACAGTCCCGTCACGGAAAAGGATGTTTGCTCAAGAATTATAGTGTGGCTAGAAGTTTGTCTTGGCAAAGGAGTGCAAGCATCTGGAGAGGTTTGGCAACAGAGTATTTTTCATGGATTCTTACCCAGAGTATTTATAGACCAAGAAATTAAATGATATTGCTTTGAAAATTTTGAAAGCAGTAATGTCCGCACCGAAAGGCATCGGTACAGGGCTGATTGTAAGTTTATTCACAATTAGTTTTTTTCTTATATTTTTAATGCTGTTTATCAGGAAGCTGGTTTGATCGAATTGTTGATTGAAGTTGCCCAAGATTTGCGTTATTTGGATATACAAGCTCGCCTGCTTCGCAATCTATTTCTGCTGGTAGGTAATTTTTGCCAAGCTTATCCACTTAGCAATCAATTTACAAGATTTCTTCTCCTCTGACTTGGCGAGAGGCAATCAGTCGCTTGGCTGAAACTAATAACGAAGAATCTCACGATACTGTTTACTCGAAACTGATCGCAATATCATTAGGAAGTTTCCCCAGCAAGGTCAGTGATTTTAGTGACCATCGTTTCGAAATGAAACCACTAATCTTTTTAACAGAATACGCTTCCACTCATAACGCTCATCGCTGCTTGGTCACGTTTTGCGACCTCGGTAAACAGGCTAGAACTTAGTGCGAAGGACCTGTTCTCTGCAATCTCACGTGCTACCCAATTGAGCGAGGTGTCAGTAGACGACTTCTATGAAAAATGGGATGAGTTTGTTAAAAGGTGCGTGCTCGTCAACGTCTTGCTTTATTACGCTTTATTTATTTTGCTTTTGTGCAAGAAATTGTTCTGTAATTTATATTCATTACCTTTCTCTGTTTACCATTATCTTTACCATTATACTTACAAGGGAAGGATGGTCAGTCGAAGTGGCCTTTTGCGATGACTTGTATATTATTATGTAGTGCATAAATCGCTGATTCCAAATCTGTCTTCCTTATCTGCGGTGCATTCCAGCACAAGAAGTTATGAGCGTTTATTGGAGAAAAGAATTGAATGCGCAAATAAAAATAAAAATAATAAAAACAGTTAACATTATTCCTAGCGCTTAAATGGACCAGTGGTAATCTTCCCAACACTATAAAATAAATACTCTGCGATGAGATATATCCACACTCCGGCTGTCTCATTCAAGCGCTGGGAAAATTTTAGCCTATGTTTTTATCCCAGAGAAACACTCATTTTTTGCTCTTTCAAACGCTCATAACTCCTCTTCCAGGAGTGCGCCGCAGATAAGGAAGACAGATTTGGAATCAGCGTTTTACCTCCACCATGGTATACAATTCATCTCAAAAGGCCACTTCGACCAACCATACTTTCCTTGTTAGTGACACCCGTCTCACTATTGAGATCAAATTGTCCCCATTACAACAATCATTTCGTGTAACTGCACCACTCGTGAAACAGTAAACATGGCGGTAGTGGCGGACTCTAGAAAGTATGAAACCTCAAAAAAAGTAACACGAAGACGATTGTTCGAAGTGGAAAGTGTTTTTTGCTTTTTGAATCCACAATTCCCAGTGCAAATCCAATAAAAGTGAAAATAAACAGTGAATGTTGAAATGGGTACTGTCCCTTCCGCAGTTGCTGCTACCCTTGATCTGCGTCTCTGCGACACGCGTGGTCAAAATGTTGGGGTGTATGTCAAGAGGCGCGTTCTTTATTGCCACCTGGACACCAAATAGCACATAGTAAGTGTTTTGCAACTTTCTAAAAGTATATGAAATTTAGAAGAGGATATATTAGATAGTTGCATGAGTTGTTCAATCTTGATGCTTTAGAAAAAATTTGAAAGAGCAATTTTGAAGGTCAAAAACTCATGAAAATGCAATTCACAACAAATTCGCAAATATTTCAGTCCGATTTATAGCAAAAACCATGAAACTCAGCAAGTGGTGACCTCAAACAGTTAGTAAGCTAATGCACTTTATCCGGTAATTTTTGAAGACTCGCATAGCACTAAACTGGAGTTCTAAGTGGTGACAGCCAAAGAAATCGCACCTCTTGACCGTCTCCCAAAATGTTGGCAACGTGCAGCAACAAACTGGCGCTAAGGCTGGTAGCCGGGTGTATCCTATTACTTGTGTGTGTCAGTCGCGCAGGCGCCGCGCGCGGTAACATCATATCCTAGGTAACAACCATGAAAACAGAATAAGAATGTGGAGAAAAGAGTACAGGCTTAACATTCAAAAAGAAATATTGGTTTTTTCATGTCATATGTGTACTAGTTTCTTCCCTGTCGCCTGCCGCGCAGACTACTGTGACGCCGCAACCTGGCGATTTTTGGCTGACACTCACAAGTAACGGGCGTCCCCCCTGGTAGCCAATATGTTTTGTCAACATGTCGTTACATGTTGCGAACATGTTGTTGCACTTGCCAACATTTTAGCCATACGTGCCGTAGGTCAGAGACGCAGACGCTAAGGATAGCCAACTGTGGAAGGGACGGTATTTTCACACCAGACTGTTGTCTGCTCTGCGTTTCTGACGGCACACATGCCTATCAGCTGTAATATGTATGTAACAACATTTTAACGACAGCTTGTTGCTTACTTGAAGAGCCAACATGCTCTTGTTGCTGGCTGTTGTTGCATGTTGCTCTGTCATAGTGTCGCAGGTCAGAGACGCGGAACAGAGGCGGCGATTGTGACGTATACATTGACGTCCGCTTGCGGCGCATAGCTCACATGCAACATGCAACAGCATGTTAGCAACATGTGTTGACTGTTAGCTTTGAGATTAGTATGTAGTTGCATGTTGCCAACGTTAGCCATGCTTGTGCAGGTCAGAGACGCAGAGCGTGGGTAGCAAATCTTGGAACAGACGATACTGCTACAGTAGTACATCTTTCCATTGCAGCCTCGATATTTTACGGGACTATATCATCGAGTTTCATGACGAGAGGACTTGTGTTACGTTTGACGTCTACGCATTGTTAGATACTACGTAAGTCATCACGATACAGTGACTTTTACGAAGAGAATAGACAGACAACCCTTTCAGTGACATACTCGATATCTGCTGCAAACTGCTCAAACTCTCTCAGATCGTGGATAAATGGCCGAATGTGCTGAAGTTTATTCGGTCACTCCTTGATGATAAATATTATGGCATGTTGTTTATTGCCTGCCACCCTGGTCTGGGTACACTGCTTGAGGAATTGAGGAAGGTCTCTGAAAAGGAGAAAGTGGTGCGTTATAGCTGATACCATGGAATTTATTTATAAGTAAAGATATTGTGGAGATTTGCAGAAAGAAGCTCTAGTGGATGGAGACATGTTTGACGAAGGCGTCTGGCAGCTAGAAACTGAATTTCCGACCGCTACTGATGTGTATATGACAGTCGTCTACAGACTTCATGCGCTGTATTTGATTGATGACTTGAAGGACAGCATCGGAACGTGAGCTTCTTTCTTCTTACGATAGCAGCTCTAAGTCGCGTGGTAAGATGAAAGTTTTGCGTGATCCGAATTTTATCATTATATCAATCGATTCATGGTTTTGGTCCTGGAAAATAGAAGTCTGCGCTCTTTTCGTTGGTTACCCTGTAGACTAACAAGGGAATGGTCAGAAGTCGAAGTGGCCAATCCATACAAGCTGCATACCAATCGATGCAGCATAGAATGCTGATTTCAAATGTGTCTTCCGTATCTGCAGAGCGCCTTTGTGGGCGAAGTTATGAGCAGCTTTACTGCGAAAAAATCGTCCACAAAAACTGCGAAATTAGGCAGATCACTGCTCTTTTAGCTCACCTTTAGGTACGAGCCATATGAACTGACCTAGTTACACGTTTTGGTCCAACACTGAGCCGAGAATGGCTTTGTATGGCCAAGTTTGACCTTTACACGCACAATTTCTTAGCAAAATGATGACATTCAACGGCTTATAACTTCGCCTACAAAAGCGCTCTGCAGATAAGGAAGACAGATCTGAAATCAGCATTCTATGCTGCATCGAATGGTATGCAGCTTGCTTGAATTGGCCACTTCGATTTCTGACCATTCCCTTGTAAGCTGAAAATGGTAATCTGGTAAATGGTAGATCTCGTGATTTTCTGGATGGGTTAGAGGCATCTACCCAGTTTGACTTCCATATTTCTATCGTTCTGGAGCCTTCTCATATTCTTAATTGCGATTTCACTTTGAGTATCCGCGAAAACCCCGATAATCCCCGTTCCGAGAAACCCGCAGGGAAGTTCTCCGGAACGGTGATTGATTGAGTCCGCAGGCACGAGCGGAACGAGCGTTACGCCCACTCGAAAGGGAGGAACCAGCGATCCCATCCCCATCTTACGTGGACGGTGCTCCTTAGCCTTCTGATGCATTTAGACCAGAGCTGAGCTTGAAAAGCCTAAAAAGTGCTATTTATGGCGTTTTCCGGCCTTAGAGATTGCTGAGGAGGCTGGAGCGAAGATTCCCGCCAAAACAGTGACTGGCTACAAGATGCTGTAACACCACTCTTTTGACGGCAATTGGCTATTAGCCCAGGCAGTCAGCCAATCACGACTTGGCTGCGGGAATCTCCGCTCCAGCCTCCTCAGCAATCTTCAAGACCGGAATAAGCCGTAAATATCACTTTTTTGACATTTCAAGCACAGCTCAGGCCTAAAGCATTCATAAGGCCAAGGAGGGACAGAAAGCACGCAGTTGCAATTTTGCCGAACCACTGCCTTTAAGTAAATGCTAAGCTACCGCTAGCCAGCCTCAAACTGCTCATAGAAATTGATTACATAGCAGAAAAAAAGTATTAGTAAGTATTAGGTTGGCACATAAGTTTTGCAACTTTTCCCGTAACTTTTTTGCTATTTTATGTAGCAACCTCATTTTGTGGCATCATGTAGATCGTGATGTAAGCTGCAAGTCTGCTCAAACCATTGATTTTTGATAACGTAGTAGCAAAAAATCTAAGCATTTTTTGAAAACTGCTGAAAATCGAGGTTTCACGATTTGGCAAACATGAAGCCCTACGGAACCTGGTTCAAACATATGAAAAAGCAATTATAGGCAGCATGTGGCTGGAAGTTGGTACATTGGAATAAGTGAAAAAGAAATTGAAATTAAACACAAATTAAGGTGGGGCGCCTTTGAGAAGTTGAACAAGTCAAATGCGTCAAGTTTGAAGGCAATTTGTCGATAACTAAGTTGCGAAATGTCAGAATTCGCTATAACTTTGCACTATAGGGTAATCCCATGCGGTAAACACGAATATCATATTCATATGTCGCTAAAATGAAATTCATCTTTTGATCTCACGAGCGAGGCCTTTTCATGCGAAACGGATCTCATTTTTGTGATCAGCATGTCAAATAAGCCCTATAGGTCAAGTTTCAGCAAAATCTGATGCATTCTAAAAATTTTCACATAGTACTGTAAACCTACCGTAATCCTCACATAAGATGGTAGAATTCGGCAAAAATGTGTGCATTAGAAGCTTACATCATATTCCTTATATTGCCAAAAAATGAATGCCCTATGTTCAAATAGACAAAAGTTATATAAAAAGCTGCATTACTTATGTGCCAACCTAATAAAAGCAAAAAATTCATTACACACGTGATAAACTTCTGGGCGTGAGAATGCAAAATAAAAACTTGCAAAACAATCTTACGGAGGGATCATCAAACAATTAGCTGTGTATTTTTTCTCAAAATAGCTCGAGGTCACGTAACTGTGACCTATGCTTATCAGAAAACTGTGCTAGTTTACGTTCATCAAAGGATGTTCGACTGGAAAAAGTGCAGTTAGGCGATAGATTTTCTGCAAAATGTTTTTTTAAATTCTCTTTTTGAATTTTAATGCCATCGAAGTCTGCCACATTCACGTATGTCTAGCTATGAATTTCATGATTGGTTTCGAGCTGTCTAGCGGGATTACGTATTTTTGATACCGAGCCGAAAACTACGAGTTATAAAGGGCCGTTTTTGGAGGCCTTCTGCGCAATTTCTCCTATTATTAGGAAGCAAGAGCATGAATTTAGGTACAATTACCGAAACTTCCTGCCTGTCTAATGAATACTTCAGCCTTTTTACGTGATGCTTTTTCAGACTCCGTCTTGATATTGATGACGACAATTTGGTGAAGACTTTGACATCGATCTGCAATTTATGCAATGTAAGCGAAAAGGCACGAAAGGAAGTGCTCTGGGTCTTATCACAAAAATATCTGTATCATATCGTGGATATAATCACACATGCTAAGGTAGGTAAAACTTTAATTTTTTCCCTGAGTTTTCTCCTCTGGTACTGAAATGTTTTCCTAGTTTGTCTTCTCTATTAATAAAACAGTTGTCATTTTGTTACAAATATTGCGTTTCTGTTACTAGGAAGTATTTTTATAGTATTTGTCAAATTTCTCCGAATCCACTTCGTCATTGTTTTTCTATGCACGAGCTTGTTGTATTCTTAGACCAATATCGATGTACGAAACATGTCTTGCTATGCGCTAGCAACACATTTGATGGCCATAGTTCTCGCGGAAGTAGACGATCACCGATTTTGGCTCAAATATTCAAAGATTTTTTCCAAATTGATCACGGATAGATGCATCACTTACAAGTAGGTCCTTTCTTCAAGTAGAAGTATAATAAAACCTTGCAACCTTTCCAGTGATAACCGAAAATTACATGAGTATCTGGCTCCACTCACTTCCTACATCTTCCAATACGTTGGACAAAATGACCCTGGATTAGTGAAGGGACTTTTCAGGAAGTCGGTATTTTTCTGCTTTTCTCCTTTTTCTCCTAGACATTGTCTTTTTTCATTATAATGTTCTCAGAATGTGCGCGTTCATGCAACACAGACATGAGGTAAATACCGGAGCCACTGGCTTTGTTCGAGCTCTTGAAGCTGAGGTAATGTTACGTGGTCACTTCATCATAAAATTAAAATTTTTTTAGTTTGTAGTGGAAATCAAAAATTCTATGTTTATTTGGGGATTGGGATCGTTTTTTGTTGCTCCAAGGTATGCCTCAGTAGCGCAGTTTTGTACAAACGCTGAATTTTTAGTTTGGCATGAACTCACCATGCAACAAGATTAGCACTAAATTGCAATGTAGTAAATAGAAAGTCTCATTGAAACCTTGAAAAGTTCTCTGTGGAAGACAGAATTCTATATAATTACCTTATTTAGCCGTCTAGATTGGAATTATTGTTCGTTCCAGATAATGCACGCGAATGAAATGTCACGTTTGGAAAGATACCACACTCTAGAGCGTGAAGGAGCATTCGAGAAGCTTGCAAGTTGGCTCTTCGTAAGTGCTGTATTTCACAACAAGCTTAGGTTCTTAACACATTTTTCATCTAGGAATTTGTGCAATATCGCCATGTTATGTGGCAAATGGGTGAGCCAGTGTCATGCGAAGATTCTAGATTATTCCTCGATTTCGCATTCCCTGTGTTGCGAATCCACGCAGGATATTTCCGAACATGTTCCCGATTCGTTGGGCAACCCAGTGAGGTGGTATTTTTTTTGCAGACTTGGGATGTTGAAAGGATTGTTTCTTAAATCTTTCAGAGAATTAAGATGAAAAGCGCTGAAGATCAAAGTAGACGTATCGTTAAGGTATGTAGATCTGTTTAATTTGCTATTGACAGAAAGAATTTTTTACTTATTTCCAGCTGCGGCCTATGAGTGACACCTTACTTGATGCTGTGTTTTTGATGTGGAGCTGTGCAGGAGGAATGAATGGACAGGCATATAGCGAAGACTGTAAGAAGATCCGCTTGGCGGTTCTAGATGTGCTGAAGCCATCACTTTGCTTTGAGGTATGGATTTGGTGCAAATTAGAAACGCCTCTTTTTGAGTCCCAAAAATGTACTGCAGTCGGGGACCACTTCTCGCTGCCTTCTGCCTTATGCATCCAAATCATCTATCACTCTAGCATCTTGTTTTCAGCATTCCCTGACCTCAATAATCCGTCATATCATATTCCGAAGCTGCTCGCGCCCACATTTTTTCCCTGGTCTTCTCAGTCTCCTCCTGACCTTAGCTCCATCCACTGCTCCTTTGACAGTTCTCAAGAGGGATCTGGTACGTTGACTGTTTTCACGCCGTGAAACCAGCTGTAATTACGGCCAGAGATGCATCTCAGCGCGATGCCTTTGGGTCGTGCTCTGTGTGTTTTTTTGTGGTGCTGATCTAGTCTCATATGATCTCGAACATCTGATATAATTGCTTTACTTTGGGAACTCTCCACTACCTCTAATCTACATATATATTTTTTTATTTTGTATTTATCTTACTTATTCTTACTCATTTTCTATAATACAGTTATTGATGCTTGAACGACTGTGGTTCAAAAGAACATTCTTGTATTTAGCCCTCATTCAAAAATGTGATAATTGACCATCGACAAAGAGTGAAGACCTTTGTCAACGCATTCGTATCCTGCGATAATAGAGCCGAAATCGCCGAGGTATGTACGATTTTTCTAGATTATCATCGGTAAGAAATTAGTAATTTTCTCATAATTTTGATGAGATCGTGGAGGCCTAATTTCTTCCATTTTCTCTGGAAAATTTGATATCATTTCGGTTGCTTTCTAGCTACTGCTTTCACCCAACTCCTATGTGTCTGAATTATCCTTTGCCTTTGTTGAACGCATGGCAAATATGGACTACAGAATCACTTGGGATATCATAAGGTCAGTCAGATGAGCAGATGGTGGAAAATAAATCATCGAAATCTTTTGATCCTTACTATTCTTTGTATTCCACTACAGGGATTGGGATTTGCTTAAGTTTTTAATTAAATTATGCTAAAACTTTTCTCTGGCCAATAAATACTTGAAAAATTGTAATATCTTATTTTGTAGTATCTTGTTGAACTACGTCGCTACCTCAGTCGAACTTTTTAACAACGTAAGAGAACCAAAAGGCACACCTGCGACGCAGTCTTCCGAGGATGATCTAAAAAAACCTGAGGTACGATTTTAGCTCAGGTTTCGTTGAAACGACGTGATTTCTTTGATGGTTCCGGCCCATAACTCCCATGCATCGACGGGTTTGGTTAGAATGATGGAATCGTTCCAAAACCTCTGTACTATCCACGCTTTCCGTCTGGTGCTTTACGACTTCTTGAGGTATGTCGTCTGGAGTGTTTTGTTGGAGCGCGCAATGCCTTACTAACCTTTTTTCATAGTCGTTCACGCGATGGATTGCGACTTCTAACACCTATATTGAATCAATTTGAAAAACCAACTCTGGAGAGTGAGCGCCAGCTGCGGTTTCAGACGGCTGCTCTGGTAAAAATTTTGAGCCTTCCATAAAGTTTTGGTCCCTGCAGCCAAATACTTCAGGAGGTGCTTAGTGGTTTCCTTGCACCAACGCTGTGGGCTAAGGAACGTCCAAGTCTGGAGATATGCTCTCTGTACGATTTCATCGAATTTCCCGTAGCCAACGATGATCCCGTTGAAGAAGTATTCTGCAAAAGAAAGAAAGAGGAGAAGAGTTCATTAGTGTCTGGACCTCCGGATGATGCTGAAAGTTCGCACTATTACTTCAATATATTGACGAAAATCTCTGACTTTTTCTCTACTCTTTGTTCATTTTTTTATACTGGACCTAATCTACAGCCTGTGTCTATCGTATACTCCTTTTTCCATCTGCGCATCGGCACATAAGTTGTCGGCATCCAAATTCGCCTTATGTTTGCGAATCTGGGCGCAAGGCCCTCTGCGGCTGCATAACTCTTATGGAAAGGAGTATGTGATTAACACATACTGTAGCGGAAATTAAAGAAATGTCATCGAATTATTTCATGCATTCATAAATTCAGAGCCAATCAAGGTCGAAGAAGATTCGCCAGAGATCATCGAAGTTGATCCTCCACCTCCACGTAAATTTTTTGCTTCTTCATATTTATCCAAGAAACTTCTTCAAGTTGTTATAGGAACTCCTAGCTGCCTAGAAACAGTCTTGCTATCATTCCTTCGATTCATAAACGATGCTGAGCAAAAATTATCTCTCGTGCAACGTGCTCTTATGATATTGAAGGATGCTACTTCTGAAGTTCCTCAAGAAAATATGGTGTTTGTGGATGTTGTGAGTCAATTATGCAGAATGTTTTTCTTTCGTGAAAGTGTTTTCTAGTTAACCTATTGTTTGGTGGAAGTGGGCTTGCTGGGTTTCTTCAAACGTTTAGAAGCGGTGTTCGATAACGGTGAGGCAATGACATGCCTATCTGCGGTAGTTGCCATTCTCGACAAAACAGTGGGTGATAAAGTAAGTTTATCAATAACTGCAGATCATCATTTTTTAAGAAAAACATTGGTCCTTAGCGGCAGCGTCCACGCAAAATTTCGAATGGAATTTTTTTCGCTAACTTGGGCTAATTCCTGCCGCTGGTTCTGAAAATGCAGCTTGGAGGGCCCGAAAGCGCCGAAAACGGGCTTTTCCAGAAGCTCTTGATTCAATTTTTGTTGCCGTCAAGAAGACGCAGAGTCTTTATGGGACCCTACGTCTTAACTGTGTGCGGTATGCGCACTCTGGCTTATCGAACTGACTCGTCCCCGGTCGCCGGGGCGTTCCGGTCGCCACTTCTGGAGCGGATTTCTCGCTTCCAAATTGGTACATTGCCAGTTGGGCAAGAGCCTTACCAGGACGGGCACCCCTGTACTCAATCCTTATCCTCTCTCATGATTACTTGATCTTGTCCGAATCTTGAAGCGATGGTTTTTTTGAGAGTCCCTAGCTGAGTTCTAACATTTAGTGACCAATATATGGGCCGATTCTGTTTTTGACAGTTTTTTCGCTATTTATCCAATAAATATTCTACATTTCTAGACAAATCTTCTTCGGAAAGTACTTGCGTTTACTTCATCCGAGCATCCAATGGTTTCTATCATAGCCCATTTGAATGAACTGGACGATGCCGACGAGAACACCAAAATTGTATTGAAGACTCTAGATAAATTCTTCAGACAACTCAATGAAGAATCCTCTAGTCCCAGAGGTAGCGAATTTTTGTCAGAATATGTCTTGATATCTACATTCCTCAGTTTTAGCCGATCCGCGCAGGTGTCGTCCGGTATCGCAGATTCATGGAAGAGTACTGGTTGAACTTTGTAAACGTAATCTTTATAGTAAGCCGTTATTGTTGGCTGTAGACGGAATAGAGAAAGCTCGAGAGAATACAAAAGCGGCATCTAGGTCTGTTCAAGAATGTGATCTTCAAGGGAGGGAGGGGGGGGGGGGCTACCTTGAGTGACAGGTTTCTATATTCAGGATCCTGGTACATCGTAAAGAGACGGTCGGAACGCGAATGGGCAGCGATGTAGCAAAAATGATTGAAACTCACAAGGGAAAGGAGAAGGCTGTTAGGAACATCATCAGAGAGCAGTTGAAATATGCGGAGTAAGCTGTTATTTTTTTCAACTCTACAGAATTTCTTAAAAAACTCTACGGATTCGAGCACAATTTTGAGAACATGTTTTCCGCATAACAGGTTTTTCAAAAGCTATGGCGGTTAGGAAGGGGAGATTGTTTGCGAATTCTTGCTGGTTCTTAGTGTTTTAATCCGTTAGAAAATTGATAATCTGTTTCGTGTAAATGACTAAACCATTTTATTCAAGTCAAAATTCAAAATTAGTTCTGCAAAGATCTTGGGGTGTGCTTGATGTTGTAAAATTGTTTGCATAACTTGTTTTGACGTGCAAAAAAAAACTAAAAATTTTTTTCTAAATTCTAGAACGCATTTGCAAGTAAAATTTGGGAGTGCGATGGTCGTTGTCACGCTTTCTTTGAGGAAAATCCGGGTTACAAACCCGCAAAAAATTTGGAAACGTGCCAAAATTCTGATAGCGCTGTGGCAGACGCCACTCCCGTTCAATTGAAAAATCTAAATGTAATAAAGCCAAAAATAGTTTTCAGAAATTTTGGGCGTTATTGACATTTAGCATTACGAATTTGAGCAGATAATCTGTTTCCTCATGTAAATAAACAAAGTATTTGAGATTTTTCAAAATTTGCCCCTCTCCCAAGAAATTTTTTTTGACCGCCACTGCAAAAACCTTACCATAATTTCGTCTGCGATAATTCCCCCATACCCTCTGTTTCACTGGAGTTGGCGGCTGGAGGATGGGGCTTCGGTCGATTAGAGGACACATAAGCATGAGAGAGCAGGCTCTGCATCTGCCTCGCGTATGTGCTCTCTAATCAACCAAAGCCTCGCCCTCCAGCAGCCAACGCTTTTGAAACGAGGTTACGTTTTCTCGATTTAAAAGGCATTTCTTTTTTTTTCCTATACTTTATTGTAATCACGTTGATAGCGTTGAATATTTATAGGCACGCCAATGTGAAAAAACCGTGAACATTTCTACTTGTTGATCATTAGGTCCATTTTTTACAGCAAAGCAAACTGGGCAAATAAAAACTGTTTACTGTTTTTTTTGAGCAGTGCTTGACTCACATTTTCTTTTTAGAAGTGAAGAATCTGCAAGTCCGCAAAAAAGAATGCGATCTTCTTCAAAAAATTGATGTGAGATGTGATCAAAAATTGTTGTCCTTTTTTTCTCACCTCCTATTTTGTTGTGTAAAGATCTCTGCTATAGATATAAGCCCTGTTTCGCTGATATGATTGTTTTGTTGATGTGCCTTCCTTATAAAATACGTGTTTGGATCCAGCCTATCAATACTGTTCGAACGCTTGAACGGTCAAGAAGATAACGTACAACTTTATTATATAGAAATTTGTTTGTTATGATAATCACGAAATGAGATTGTTGTGAACATATGAATAAATAAGAATTTGATTCCCCGTTTATTCTGGTCTTGGCAACGTCTTCTCCATCTCGATAGATGGAGCATCAGTAAAGAACTGCTTATCCAATATGAAATCCATCGCACTGCCTATCAACACTCGCATCCTGAACAGTTAACACCCTTTGATTCAACTGGCTTGGCGCATGGAAGGCGGGGCTTCGTGACCTAATTAAGGCTATCTAATGATCAGAGAGCACGCGCGTGGGTGAGATGCAGTCTGCGTTAAACTGAAGCCCCGCCCATTCCTGCCCATCTAAAGTCGTCTCAAGAGGCTTATTTCTTTCCGCCGCGAAATTGAGGAAGGCGGAGCGCCTTTTTGTGCGCGAGATTCAAAATTGTGATTTCAAGTTCCCAAAAATGAGTTGAAGCTCGGATGTTGACTTACCAAATGCACACTGCCGCAGCAAAGAATGAGATAACACCGATATTGAATGGCCAAATCGGGCCAAAATCACGTTCCATTTCTGGTACTCTGAAATCATCTCAGCGTGGAAAAACGTTTAGTCGAGAATATATGATAAAATGCACGGCGAAGAAGATTTATCAGCTATGTAAATACAGGGCGTCCCAAAAGTAAGCACTTTTCAATCGTCAATATCTCTCTTTTCAATGGGTCTTTTCTTGCCATTTAAGTACCATTCTGTAAAGGAGCCTTCATGTTAGATTTACAGTTTAGAATCACCGCGCTCTTTACTGAAGGATTACGTCAAGAACTTCCAGCATGTGGAACCATTGTGAAATATGCCATCTGACAAAATTTTTTCAAAAAATGTGAAAGATCGTGTACCAGGGTTTTCGTGCACTCTAATTCCATTACACAACTTTTTACGAGTGTTTTCAGCTTTTTTGACGATGTAATCACATTTCTGACAAATACTGGGAATGCGGTTATTACGGTTTACCTGGGATAACTTTGGAAAGAAGCGTCACAGTAAAGTGGAACTTTCATATTTGAAATTAGCGGCTTCCGTTACCATAGTACAAGAGTTTTTGGCTTGTTTGGTTTTATTCCGAGGCAGAATATAGCTTTCATTGGCATGAAGTCTTTGTCGAAGTTCCTACAGTAATCCCACAGTAATGAAGAGCGATCGGTAATTCGCTCGATACAGTAAATCTAAGTTGAAGCCTCCTCTACAGAATGGTACTTAAATGGCGGAAAAAGACACAAGGGAGGAGAGATATTAACGATTGAAAAATGTATACTTACTTTTGGGACACCCTGTATAGCTGCTGAATTTATTTTATGCAGTTACGCAGCGGCTGAGAGGCGGCGCGGTACTATTAGGTTGTCCCACAAGTCTTTTCATATCTTCTTTACTTCCATGAGCCATTTCTTCAGAAAGTCCTCATGGTAATCGGGGTACCTTTCGAAAGAGCAAAGCAATCTCTACCGACGACATTCAAACATTCACACCAGTATGAACACAAAGTTTGACGAAATTTGAAAAGATCCAAATGCTTAAGAAATCGAAAAAAAAATCGAGTCTTTTTTCAAAAAAAAAATTCAAGAAGTTTCAATTTGTCCTAGCATATATTTATTATTTATTATTATTATTTATTTATTTATTTATTTATTTATTTATTTATTTTATACGTTTCAGTGTCATTAGTCTCCATATATGGTTGCTGCATAAGTTCTGTCCGATTTTCTTTGCCTTGAGTTTGAAGCAGCTGTTCTAAGAGAATTTCATGTCTAATGCGGTATTGTTAATATCACTAGAAAGTGCTTTTCTTGCTCTTTCTAATGCATATCACATTTCAATAATTTTCTTGGTGTAATGAGATTTCAGGCCTAAAATCTTCAAGTGGCCGAGATAGGTTCTCACCCTAGAAATATGTTCTCGCTAGGAAATCTCCACAATGCGCCCTTCAAGTCAAGTTCTTTCATTGTTTGCGGAATAAGGGTTTAAAAGGCTAGTATATGCAGAAGCTCAGTTCCATGAAGAAAACGTCTCGCTAGTAAAATTTGTTGTCGAACATCAATTTTTTGCATAGATGTTTCACAAGCAATAACTTTCTGCGAATAAAAGTAATCGATGAGTTCAAAGTTGGAGGTGCTGGGGGAAAGCAAGGGCTAGCAGAGACCATCCACCAGTTTCTTTTCGGCGCTCACGTTAATTGTAAAATTTTCATAACTTGTAAATAGGCAGACACACATGCACTGAGGCGAGGTCAAAAAGTGGCTTTTTTGCTCGGTTAAAAAAAATCTTTCGGCAACGCAGACCCTATGGGCTCCTTTATGTCCGAAAATAATCTGCGAAAAATTCTCTATCTATCCGTTGTTAGACAAGATGCCTATCAATTCTCATAAGGGAGCAGTACCATGTCAAAAAGACAGGTAGAGAAACGCTGTGAAGTTTTTGGGTTCTTGCTTCTTGCTTAACAAGAATTTTCGCAGGTTTCAATATGTATCTGATAGCCAAGGAATTGCTCAACACGCAATAACTAAAATCTAAAAAAAAGTTGGCCTTGTAAGAAGTTATGACATTTTGAACTCAAAAAATTTAAATCGTACAGAACTTATGCAGCAACCTAATATTTCCACATCAGACATTCATAGATACATTCAATTGCTGTACTTTTTCCATTACTAGAAATCAAGAAAATGAAAATTTGCAAGTTTGCGTAAAAACTATGTGCTCGGCTGTTTCTACATAGACAGATCTATAGTATAAACCTTTAGGAGTAACCTCTATAAAAGTTCTGCCTGCTAAGTGCTTTACTGCTCGAGAAATAATGACATTTTTTGGGTTTTTGTGACTTTGCAATATTTCTGCTTTACTATTAGTTGTCCCAAAAGTAAACTCCATTTTCAAATAAATTGAGCTGTTCTTGTTCTCCTAACAGGTTTAAGGTACCATTCGATAGAGCGGAGCAAGCTCTACAAAAAGACCACCAAAGATCCACCTTAGTCGTAATCCAGATAAAGCTTGGGGCCAAAAATTAAGATTCTTAAGCTACTCTAAAAATTGGATCTTCTTCCAGAGAATTCCTACGGACTTCCAAATTGGTCGGTATATAGTAGACATATAGTAGTACCCAAAAATGTATTTGGCGGATTTTTTTCGAGGCTAAAAGTTGAGAAAAAAGATGGTCCGAAATTGCCAAAATGCCACTTTTTTCGGTTTTTAAAATGTAAAATTTGGCATTTCTCGCATATAAGAGCATACCGGGGTAAGCTTTTGAAATTATACTTAGTAAGACTTGTAGTATACAATCACATATGTGGGAGGGGCTGAGGGCGTAGTTTGCCATTTTTGGACAATTTTTGTTTCTCGCTTTCTATCTTGGAAAAAATTCGGTAAAGGCATATTTGTGTACTACTATGTGCCTACTATATAATGTCCAGGAGGTCTGTAAGATTCCTTGTCGCAGAAATCCAATTTCAGGTGACAAATTTTTTTCGATTTTGGCTCTAAACTTTCTACGGAATGCGGCTTAAGTGGATTCTTAGTAGCTATTTTGTAGAGCTTGATTTGCACTATCGAATGATACCCTAAGCTTATTGGGAAAACAAAAACAGCTTGGATTACTTGAAAGAGGAGTTTACTTTTGGGACAATCTAATAGCTATGGAAAAATTCAGCTAATGATAAATGTGTGATGTAGGGACTGTATACCTGAGCAAGCTAGAGGTCCATAAAATTTTTCTGGGCTGAGTTCGGATTTTTCAATCATTTGAAAATTTTTGAATATTGGCTTAAACTTCACGTGTATCAAACCTCTTGCGATTTTCGGAGGTCATCAGCCGCTCAAGCTCCAATTTCAAAAAAAAATTGAGCTTAGCTGATTCCTGCCTATATGAAAAGACTTATGGGACCACATAGTAGTCGTGTGCGTCTCTCCTCTCCATATAGTCTCTCTGTGATCCAGAGGCATCAAAACCCCGCCGCCGCATTGAAAACGGCTTCGAGGCTGTATGTCTTAGCACAAAACATAATCCCAACTAAAGTCTAATACGCTACTGAATCAAATGATATTGCTCACCTAACAAAAATCCCGAAAAGTTGATGTGTCAGATTTATACCAAAGGACATAGCAACGATAGACACAGCAGCAAAAATCATTAAAATGAAAATCTCTAGCTGAAAAATATCATATTCATTATGCACGTAATGTAAATAATTCTAGTCTCAATCTGCTTACCTGGATAAATGCCAATTTTGGCGCTACTAACCGTGCTTGTTCGGTTTTGAGGCCGTAGAACTGAAAGTTTATGCGTCATTGTTTATGAGAGGGAAATTTTTTTTTGTATCGATTATCAATGAGAAATAAAAGCTTACCATCAAAGCCGTGGTGAAAATTCCTCCAGCTGTTAGAGCGAACATGCACATCACAACCCATGTGTCCATCGAATGGTTTACGCTATGTAGCTCTAAAAAATCATAGTGAGCTAAACAAGCCCAGGATCTCCCCCCTCCTTCTTTTTCCACTCTTTTATCCAGGCTCAAAAAATGTTGTAAATTTTGAAAACTCACGCCAGAACCACAATGAGCAACCGGACAACATCAACATATCGATAATACCAGCCATATAAGCAGCAGGAGTGTAATGCATCAGATGACATGTGGAAGGACCGAAGTAGAAGGGATCATCACGGGTAAACGTAAAATTTGGCGGGAGTTCATTTGCATTTGTGTCTTTGTCATTTGATGGAGCCATGCTAAAAGTAAAACTGGTAGGTTGTTTCAAAAGTAAAATCTTGAAGTAAATTATGCTGTTTTTGATTTCCTAGTAGACTTAGAGTATTATTAAATTATTATGCGAAGCGAGCTCTATAAACTGACCACCGAAGATCCGCCTAAGTCGTAATTCAGGTAAAGGTCGGAGCAAAAATCAAAAAAGAGAGAAACTTACCACGTCAAAATTGGATTTTTGCCAACAAAATCTCATGGACCTCCAATTTGTCATTATAGTAAACATGTAGTAGTACTCAAGTATGCTTATACTGGATGTTATCCGCGCATAGAGCGAGAAAATCCAAAAATGACGAACTCCTCCCCTCCCCCTCGCCCCGCCCTTTCCACATATGTCAGCGTACACTGCAAGCCTTACTAAATATAACTTTGTGATTTTACCTCTGTAGGCGCATTGGTAATCTAGAAATGCCAGATTTAACGTAATAACCCGAAAAAAAGTGGCATTTCTGCATTTTAGGGCTACTCTATTCCCCGGAAAAAATCCGCCAAGTACATTTTGGATACCACTACATTTTGGATACTGTATGTATCTGCTGTATGAAGACCAAGTCGGAAATCCATAGGAATTTTCCGACGGATATCCGATTTTTAGGGTAGGTGGAAAATTTTGGGTTTGGCTCCAGATCTTACCTGGATTACGACTTAGGCGGATCTTTGGTGGTCATTTTGTAGGGCTTGCTTTTGCTGTCGAGCCTCTGAGTCTGCTAAGAAAGCAAACATAGTTTGCTTATGTGAAAAAGGAGTTTTACTTTTGGGAAAGTCTAATTTATTACAATAGTAAATGGCAGAGAGTTATAGATTGCAGAAGATTTTCTCCAAGAAGCATTGCTTGGAACCTGCCAAATAAATCACAAGGATCCACTAATCTTTTCAGAATATGCATAATCTAATTTTGTCAAAATAAGTCATTGAAATTTTTTACAAAAAAATTTCTAACAATTTTTTGGCACTATAGCCAGCTCAGTAGAATCGTAGCGGCAAACAAGGGAACTTAAGTAGATGAAAAATTAGTGCAAAGTACCACTTGTTTAGGTTCACTATAATAATTCATCATAGAGATTTTTTGACATTTAAAAATTACTGTTTTTGGAGGAGCTACTCTTTAAGAAATGCAAAGAGACCAGAAAATTTCGAATGGTTTTCGTAGTGTTTCGGATCGAATCGGAGACTGGAATTTTTTGTATTTTATTTTTTGATTTTTATCGTTTTCTTTCATGTAATCCAAATTCTGGAAGTCCACTGCAACACCTTTCTTAGAAAAACTGCTTTTACAATTAGAGCTTTGCAAATGCGGCTTTGTGGTACCTAGATTAGAATAATCAAAATAATTAGAGGTCGTTTATAGTTCCCATATATTCTTGCCATCAATGTACCCCAAAGGCGTAGCGAGTTGTGTCTCAGTTCTTTATCACCTGCGAGTTTTGCCACATTACCGTAGATAACGGCCGAAAATCGTGTCATATTCCCAATTACGCGATAATTTTGCTAAGCTAGCAAAAAATTCTGCCTTTTCTACAATTCTTATCTAATCATGGATCCATTATAGCTGCAGAACAAAGAAGAATGCTATCGAAAGACAGATATTATTCGTCTGGAAAATACAGATCCAAATTATCCAAAAAATAGTGGAATGTTTGCGCTCCATAATGGATGTTCACGCTTAATGTTCTTTAAAACAGCCAAAAAGAACGTAGTTTTGAAAAATACTTTTTCAAACTTCGCGATTTTGCGTTTGATGTCAGAGAATTAGGACTATTAGCTAACCTGAAATCACATTAAAGCACCGAAGCTTGATAGCATAAGGCTTGATTTTATATATCAAGATCATCTTTGTATGGAGATGACTTTTTTGTCGGATGCGTATTATATGATGATGGTCGACATCACGATAAATTTTAACAAGTTCGTGCATTTGAATAATAACAAAATTACGTAGCAAATTTTAGGGGGGCAGGCGTTATGGAGCAAAGCTACGCCGCGTTCCCCTGCGGTATATCCTGAGGGCCATTTGCGCTGCGTCGCTTTTAATTGCGCAGGAGTAGCGCTGCTCCTGCTAGCGGATTGAGCCATCCCCTACTACCGCGACCTAATATGTTGAAACTGTATAGATGCAATAAGGAGAACAAAGAAGACGATTAAGAAAATCAAAAAAATAAATTTATAGGGATGAATCAAGGGCTGGATCTGAGATGATGCGCTTGATTTGATTTAAAAAATTTTCGAGAGAAGTAGAACATGAGAATCAGTAGAGAAGAAGGATAGGAATTTTCCGTCATGAGTTTCCAAGAGAAATTAACTTACTCATCTCTTACTTTCTCTTGGCTTGCTTTGCAGACTTTTCCTTTTCAAATTCTATATTTGCCCTTGAAATGCGTTTATCATTCACATTTTGATCTCTTTATCTATGAAGAGTGAGGAAAATGGCTCAATTCGCTCGGTAGCGCCAGCTCCTCTGCGACTGCATTTAGGAGCGACGCAACGCAAGGGGCCCTCAGGTTATACCAGAGGCAAATGCGGCGTAGCTTTGCTCCATAACGCGGCGCCGCCCAAATTTTAGACTGAACCGAAAGTTCGTTCGTACCATTTTGAATGATTCATAGCTCCTGTTTCAACCGACTTGCTTGCTTTAGTGATGGTTTGAAAGAGAAGAGCCTGAACATACATTGCACAGAAAAAAAAGATAGAAGAAAATTACTCGAATTTATTTCCTTGTGTTTCACTGTAAAAAAAATTTGAAACTCAGCATAAAAATGAAGCATTTAATATTCGAGGTTTTATTAGCTGCACTTTTAAACTGCAAAAGTTTGTGCTGATTGAACATATCTATGAATCATGATTTTTTGAGCGAGCATTATAAAATAGCAAATTTGACTATTTTTATTTTTTTTCGAAATTCATAACTTTGTAGAGATGTTCAATTAACCCAAACTTTGCTCATTTATAAAAAGCAGATGATAAAACCTATACGACGACCAAGCACAGAAAAACAAACTTGAATGCTTTTTCCCACCGCTTCTATCCATCCAGTATATGCTCAGTAGAGAGCCTCTAAGGCCCCGGGCAGACTTCACGCGATTTGATCGTCGCGACTCAGTCGCGACGAGACAACTGTTACAACATCATTCCATGCTGATCAACTTGCATTCGGTTGTGTTACTTTTCCAGCCTGTCATTTTTGACTGTAAAATGAAAATGAATGGAAATCTTGGCGATTAGATCGCGACGATTAAGTCGCGTGAAGTCTGACCGGGGCCTAAGGTACATCATGGTGGGCATTTTTGCTCTACAGAATAAAACCAAATGCAAGCAAATCAATTGAAAAATTAGAGTTTATGAATTTTTGAAACAGCGAGTGAACTTTCAGTCTAATCTAATATTAGGTTGGTGCAAAAGTTCCGTCATTCGTTCATTTTTCTTAAAATTGTAAGTTTTGGCCGTGCTATCTAAAGACTCTCTATACAAACTGAATTTCATTCAGTGGAAAATTTCATGTTTTCTGTAATAATGCCTATGCAGTTTTCTAATATGTATGAGTGATGATTTTCGAGGTGGAAGCAGAAGACTTCGGTCGTTTCAAAACAGGTCGCCAAAAAAAGAAACCAACCCTAGAAATCGGGGCAAGTTCAAATTTCATGATCTACTCTTTCTCACCAAGCAAAGTTTGCAGATCTAACCTCTCTGCGAATAGTTATGGTTTTTGAGCAACCAAGTCATTACAGCAAAATTTGATTTTTTCCAGCATCGTTTTCGAAAAACATAATTCTTCAAAGAGATTTTCAATTTACCAAATTCTACTCATAAAATAAGAGTGAATAATGAACTTATATTGCTGTATCGAAATCTACCGTGAGTTTCACACGTTTACGATCTAACTTAAAATGACAAGGCTAAGTGCTTGGGCTGCCGCTGCCACTACAAAATCGTGATCTTCTCTATCAACAAAAATTAACAAAAGTAAGAGTGTGCAGATCCACATCCATAATTAATGGTTTTTCAAAATAATTTTTGAAAAACCATTAATAAAACCATTCATCGACAAAACTTTTCCGCTAACCTAATATTCTAGCTTTTCATTAAAGCTTATCCTATCACAAATCTCCTATTAGGTCAGTGCAAAAGTTTTGTCAGTTTTTTCAATCCATCGGCAAACACGTTAGAATAAAGATAAACTAATAATTCAAAATGTATCCGATGCAGAATTTCTTCCTCTTTCCAGCTTCTAAACATCCATTGTGTTTCGTTGCGAGAATGACGAGATATTTGCTGGAAATTATAACCACTCGTTTTTACCATGTCCAACTTTCGCTAATTTTCAAAATTTTTGTATGAGACTTTCGGAGGAGCCCCAATAACCGGCAGATAGTGTAAGCCTTTTGCCAACAGATGCAATTTTTTTCTTCTTTTCAGCTGCTTTTTTAGATTTTTGCTAAATAATTTTCTAAAAGTCTTGTGTTTTGGCAAAATACGATAACATGTTTTTGCACCAAACACTGCAAAACCTGTGAAAACTGAGGTTTTAACACATGATTATCACTACCGTACAGTGGCGTACCCAGGATTTCGGCTCGGGGGGGGCGCGACAAAAATTTTTTTCTAAAGAAGGTGCGTGGCGTTAGCCACGCACTCCGAAAAAATCTTTGGGGTGCTTCTCAAAATTTTTCCGGGTCCCCGACCCCTAAAATCTGGAAAAAGGGGGCGTGGCGTCAGCCACGCCCCCGAAAAAAAATTTTTTATAAGGCTAAAATGAATTTTTAAAAAAATTTAAAAATTATTTTAATTATTTACAAGTAAAAACAAGTCACTTGCACATTTTTATAACCCATGTAAGTAACTTTCAAAAATTTCGCGACCCGTTCTCGGGGGGGGCGCGCGCCCCCCCCCCGCCCCCCCCCCCCTCGGTACGCCACTGCTACCGTATCATTACAAAGTAAATGAGCGATATTCGCTTCAATTTATGAAGAT